GTCCCCTCGGCCTGGGCGTCATCTTGCACGTCCCCTCAGCCTGCATGTCCCCCTCAGCCTGCACGTCATCTTGCACGTCCCCTCAGCATGCGCGTCCCCTCGGCCTGCGCGTCCCCTCAGCCTGCGCGTCCCCTCATCTGCGCGTCCCCTCGGCCTGCGCGTCCCCTCGGCCTGCGCGTCCCAAAGTGTTTGGAGGTCAGGACCTCACAGGACTGGTGGTGTTCATGTGGTCTCAGATTCCAGAGGCCTTCCCACATCCTGCTGGTGCTTCTCCTCACCAGCACACCGTCGTCTCCAGTCCTCCCAGTGCAGCTACGGGCCGGCCAGACGAGGACACGCAGGGGGGTCATGTCCTCTATAAGCAAGAGACCGAGAGGGAGGCCCAGAGGAAGACCAGTCAGAACCAGGACCTGTCCGTCAGGCGCATCCGGGACTTCCTGGAACCGCCAGGGGACGTGAACATGGAGCACTACCTCCTGCCCCCCGGCACCCTGCTGAGATATTCCCTGCTGCTGGACATCGTTCAGCCCACCTGCAGGACTTCCGTGTGCTTCACTAAAGGGTAAGGACACCCTTTACCCCACAGTCGGGTTGTTGTTTGGACTACCGTTGGAGGACGCTGTGAGGACGAGTCCTTAGTGATGGTGTCATGTCTTCTCTCCGTAGCTACGGCCGCTACGTGGAGGGGACGGGCTCAGTGCTGCAGTGCTGCGTGGAGACGGAGGTAGGTTTGTCATGGAGGGTATTGGCCGTAGATGAAGGAAAGAAGGTGTGGGCTTGCTTCATGGTGAGAACGTGCTTCACGACCTCCTGGGTGACATCATCAGAGCAGAAGCTCTTCTGCTGTGCGTCCTCCAGATGGAGAGCGTGTTTGCAGGTCTGGACCAGATGTCTGAAGACGACAAACTCCAGCAGCTGCTGAAGCTCAAGCTGCGTTACTTCAGCCCCCGAGAGGTGGCCAACCTCATGGGCTTCCCTCAGAGCTTCTGTGAGTGACTCCCTTCAGTCTGTGTGTGTGCGCGTGTGCGTGTGTGGGGGTGTGGGGGTGTATAGATGGGTGTGTGTAGATGTGTGTGTGTGTGTGTGTGTGTGTAGATGGGTGTGTGTAGATGGGGGTGTGTAGATGTGTGTGTGTGTAGATGGGTGTGTGTGTGTGTAGATGGGTGTGTGTGGATGGGGTGTGTGTGTGTGTGTGTGTGTGTGTGACCCTAAAGGAGTCGTGTTGTTCAGCAGAGAGTTTAATGCTTCTGATGGTGAAGGTGGAGAATAGGAAAGTAGGCGGGACTAAAGGCGGGATGACTGATGTGCAGAAGCAGGGAAGCGGTTCTCCTCCAGGTGAATGGGATCTTCTGGTTCTTCTGCAGCCTTCCCGCAGCAGATCAGCACCAAGCAGCAGTACAGAGTTCTGGGAAACAGCCTCAACGTGGTGGTGGTGGCCCGGCTGCTCCGGCTGCTCGTCTCCTA